TACATATAGCTCAATGAATTTCCACAAGGTGAACACAGTCATGCAATCAGCATCCAGACCAAGAATCAATGTGAGGGGTTCCCAAAAGCCCTCTTCATGGCCCTTTCCAGTTACCACTCTCTCCCAAAGATAACTAGCACCCTAACTTCTTCTTTTCTAAAGATTTTAAAAATTTATTTATTTTTAGAGAGGGAAAGGGAGAGAGAAAGAGAGGGAGACAAACATCAGTGTGTGGTTGCCTTTTGTGCACCCCCTACTGGGAACTTGGCCCGCAACCTAAGCATGTGCCCTGACTGGGAATCGAACCAGTGACCCTTTGGTTCGCAGGATGGCATGCAATCCACTGAACCACACCAGCCAGGGCCAGTATCCTAACTTCTATCATCAACAATTAAAAAGGTCTTTTCATTTTTCTTTAATTTAAATATTTTATTGTTTATGCCATGACAGTTGTTCCAATTTTTCTTTGTTCCCCTCCACCTAATTCACCTAAGGCAGTACTGATCATATTACACCCAGCTTCCACACCCTCCACTATCTACAGGATGAAGCCAAACCCTTCAGGAAGTTGAAAGTCCTCAGCCCCCCCCCCCCCACCCACAGTCAATATGCACACTGTTGTCCATAGCTATGGGTCCTGCATAAATCTTCTTTGACTAATCTCTTCACCTTCTTTCAACAAGTCCCCACCTCCCTGCTTCGCAAGACTTTTCATTTTTTAAAACTTTATGTCAATGGAATCAAATAACACGTCCTTTTCTGTCTGGCTTATGTTCAGCATCAATTGTGAGAGTCATCCATAGAGTTCATTCTTTTCATTGCTGTATGAAAGAACCTCTATTTACCCAGTCTATTGTTGATAGGCATTTGTATTGTTCTCTGCTTGGAGCTAAAATATGAGCCGTGCTATATATACCTCCTGTGCCACCTCTTGCCTTCCCAGAGCCTTCCAGAGGCTACTTCCTCAACTCCTACCTCCCTCACCCGCTCAGAATGACTTCCCTCAGTGCACCTCGGAGTGGACAGGCCTCTCCCCCTCTTAGGGTTCCTTCCCCAGTACCACCTTCATGGGCCTCTTTGCTACATCTAGGCTTCAGTCCTAGTGCTCCCCAGGTCCCGTCTCCTAAAACACTCTTTGAAACAAACAAATAAATAAACAAACAAACACTCTTTGTACATCCTCAGCAGACATTATCATCCTCAGGCTAATGAACTCTCCCAAATTTTTCTCCTGAGTGCCAGCCCCAGACAGCACAACGCTGAGTTCACCAAATCCAAGAACTGGGCGGCCCATGGCTGAAATGATGGTACCATCCACCTTGGTGCTTAAGTCATGACCTAGGAATCATTCTGGGCTGCTCCCTCCTTCTCCCCTACCTCAGCTCTCAGTTACCAAATCCGTATGCCATAAGCTCTACTTCCTCCAGTGGCTGAGCACCCCTCCCAGCCCCCCTGCCCCCCCACACACACACCTTGACTCAGACCATCTCACCCTGGATGGTTGGAAAGCCCCTTCCTCAGGCTTCCCCACTCTTCCCCCGCAGCCACCTAAGGCAGTTTTGATCCTATTATCTCTCACCTGCCACACCCTCCACTACCTGTAGGATGAAGCCAAACCCTCAGGAAGTTCAACGTCCTTCAAGTCACGTCCCCTTTTTCGCCTTTGTGTCCCTTTGCAATCATTTCCAGATGCCCATTCTAGGACTCAGAAGTAGTTCTCGGAAAGTGCTGTTCTCCTTGCTATCTGGCTTCCTTGGGCTCTTTCCTCTCCTTACAAAGCACCCCCTCTCACCCCACCCCAAATTCCCCTGTCCCAGCAATCTAAGCCTTTAAGCTTCAGCAGCTTTCATCTCCTTTGGAAAGTTTCCCCCTCTCCCTCCCCTCTGGGTCCCACCAATGCTGTAGAGGTGACAGCAATTATTACTATCAGGGAGGTTTGTGAGATAGTATTTAGCAGAGGTGGGCTCCCTGAGGGTAGAAATTGTGGGATTTTATTTCAAGCATTGGGTTTGGCCCAGTGAGCAATGAATAAACATCTGTTGAATGAAAGCGTGCAAGAACAGGGATGTTGAGTCCAGTATGAAACTACCCAAAAACAGGAAACAAATTTTTAGAAGTTTAGAAGTTAATGGAGAAAAGTACTTGAAATAGTGGACAGGGAGGGGGCGGCCCCACAGATCCTGGGAACTAGGACGGCAGAGACTGGTAAATTGCCTGAGGCTTCTCGATGGGCGGGGTGGCCCGTGGCTGGAGCTGGAGACGGGGTATGAGGAACTGGTGCTCTGAACCAAAGCCTTTAGTCTTCAGCCTGTCAGCCATTGCTTGGAAAGAATGGGCACATGCAAAACATTAAATCAAGAGTGTTTTTTCTTACAGAAAATAAACCTAATAAAACAATGGGAGATTTTTTTCTTTTTATTATTTTTGTGGGAGGTTTAAAATTTTTTTTCCTTTCATTTTTAACTAAGGGAATCTCTTCTCCAAACCAAATATACAGGGCACTGCGATGCATAATGCAGATTTAAAGGCCGAGTTTTTCTGGTCGCCAAGGAGCATCAAGGAGGAACCCTGCTGGAGTACCTTACTGAGAAGCACCGTTGTGGTCCACCCCCTCACCGCTCACAGGTGGAAGTGAGGCCTACCTTCCTCCTCTGCATCATCCCCTCCTAGTTCAGGCTGCCACCATCTCGTAGCCAGCACCTGTGATGTCCTCCAAACTGGTGTCCCCAGCTCTACCATTGCTGCTCTCTACTCAGCCCTGCTCTGGAGTCAAGGTTATGTCTTTTAAGTGTAAATGTAAGCCTTTGGATTGTTTCCCTTTGCCCTAAAGAGATCAAGTTCAAGTTCCAGAATGTGGTTTCCAAGCCTCTGAAGAGTCTGGTCTCTCCCCAAACCCCTTTCCCCCCACTTGCTTTCTGCCACACACAGGGGACTCCAGGCCTCAGAGCCTTTGCTGAGGGCCAGTCCCTTTGGCCAGAGCACTTTCCTCCTTATCCTAAGAATTTATCCTGAGCACTTCCTCAGGAATTCCTCACATACCAGACCAGATCAGATTCCCTTCTTAAACACTCTCAGAGCATTCACACTTTCTCTTTGCAGCACATATTCAATCTACAGGTACTGAGGGGTCCCCTGAACCAGGTAGGCCCTGAGTGGTCCCATAGTAGAAAAAAGAAAAGGCAGGGTCCCTACATTTTTGAGTTTATAGTCATTTGGGTAGAACGCACCCTAATTAATCATCACAGAAACTACCCTCCACCCCTAAAAAATAAATCACAGAAATAAACGTAACCATGTGGTGCCTGGAATGATGGATAAAAACAGGGGGATCTATCAGTCAGGGTGTCTGAGGGTAGAATTTTCCTGGGTGGGTGTTGGATGAGTGAATTGGGTATGGGTGTGAGGAGGGCATTCCAGCATTTTCCAAGGAAGTATTGATGCTGTCTGTTTGGATGTAACAAGTTGGTAGGGTCTGGGGAGAGACTGAATGAAGGAACAGAAATTGACCTGGCCCAAAGCAGAATCAGGTAAGGACTCAAGCCTCCCAAGTTCACAGTGCAAGGCTCTTCCCTTCCCCTCCTGCTGCTCTAGGACTTTGGAGAGCATACGTAAGTGAATGGGGAAAAGGACTGGTTGTAGACTATACTTTTCCTTTGCTCCAGTCCACAGTTGAAGGTCCCAAACATAATAAAAATCATCCTCAACACTTTAGTCAACCTTTAAAAAGAAAAAATAATATGTGTTAGCTATTGTTAAATTTATGGTATTGCTATCTAGAAGCTCCCAATAGGATAAGAAAGAGTGAAAGAGAAAGAAATGATTCTTAGAAGATATAGTAAGAGCTAAAATGGAAACGAGCAAAGAATGCTGAGCCCCGCAGCCCACGCCGTATTGTGGGGTTCAAGTCCTGTGTGGGCAACAGCTCGTGGTCAGCTCGGCCCGCAGGGCCTTGAACCGCCTGCCTGAGATGAGCGTTAGCGCTCCGGAATCGGGCCCGGTGTTTGAAGGGCAGCGCCGCCAGAAGGTCATACAGTTTTCTCCCTGGTTATAAAATCGGGGCGCGGAGGCCCAGGAGGAAGAGAGGGGCCCATAGTACTGCAAGGCTGGGCTCAATCTGGCCTCCAGAGGTCTTCTCCAGCCGCTACATTCCGTCAGCGTGCAGGTCGCCAGGCAGGGGCGATGAAGCAGGAGCCCAACGAGGGCAGCAAGCGACTGGGTGGCCTCGCGCGGTGAGAACTACGCGTCCCAGCATGCAACGGGTCAAGAGCGGCTTTTCGGCCTCGACCAGCGCCTCGCAGGTTCTGCTGGGAGTTTTCATTGACCTCTGAGCCCGCTCTCTTTGGGATCAGCTCCGGTCTCCACCCCCAGGCCCCGCCCCTTTCGGGGAGCCGGTGACCCCGCAGAGTCCCGCGCTTTGCCCCCTTTTCCCCCTCTTATTGGCCCAGCCTAGCTGCCATTCGGGAGCAAGGGGGAGGAGTTGCTTACTGATTGGCGCGTTCCGTTTGGCGCCAACTAGGAAAGGGGGGCGGGGCAGCGACGATCCCCAGTAAGCAATTACCGCGAAAGGCCTTCTCCGCACAGACAGCGGCCGGGGAGGGAGGTGAATGTCGTCTTGGGTCTTGGAGGTCCCGCGCTGGCCAAGGGGGTGAGAGAAAAACGAAGAGTGTGAGCGCGGGCTGTTGCCCCTCGGCTCTGGCCGCTCGCCCTTTTCGACCCCGCCGCGTTTGTTTGGATTTAATCTTCAGGTTGTCGGCGACCGCCCGCCCGCTGGCCTCGCGGGGTGAAGGAGAAGCATCCGTGCGTGTGGCTGGCGCCTGCTGGGTCCGGACACCCGCCCGTCCGCGCCGCTTCTCCCGCGACAGCAGCGTCCCTGAACCGCGGGGTCGTGTTTGTGTTTGACCTACGGGCACCGGCGGCGGAGCGCGCGGCCCAGGCCAGTGCCGGCGGGGCGGGGCGGCGGAGGAAGAAGGAGCGGGAGCCCTGGGAGGCCGGGCGCCGCCATGGAACTGGGCCCGGAGCCCCCGCACCGCCGCCGCCTGCTCTTCGCCTGCAGCCCCCCTCCTGCGCCGCCTGTCGTGAAGGCGCTGTTCGGCACGCCAGCCGCCGGTGGCCTGTCGCCTGTCACCAACCTGACGGTCACCATGGATCAGCTGCAGGGACTGGGCAGGTGAGCGGGGACAGACGAGGGGTTCCGCAGGCCTCTGACCTGCCGGACGGCTCTCGGGGTGATCAGGCCGGGAGAAGGGCCGGACCTGTCCGCCGTTTGGGGGCGGCCCGGTCTGGCGGGGGCTCGCCATGTGCACCCTCCCCCGCCGCAGGCGGAATGTTGGGCGGGAGAGGCCGTTCGGACAGTCCAGGGTCGCCGTCAGCCCCGAGCCAGGCCCGGTAGGGGTGGCGGCGGCCCCAGGCCCCCATCCTCGTCACCCCTCTCGGACTGCTGCCCCGAACCCTTCTGACCCTGTCTCAGGAAGCCCTTGGGAAGCTACCTCCACCGGGGAAAAGCAGAAGCCCACTTCCCCCCTTTGCTTGAACCATCTTGCAGGATGATAGTTTCCTGTGAGCTTTGTTCCTTCTCAACAAAGGGACACGGCATTTTCTCTCCTGAGGTTTGTGAAAAACCATCGCTGTCCTTCCCCCGTGCACATTCCTGATGTCCGCCCCGATGCATGGCTAAGGCCAGGCCTTGTTACTCGACGTTGCGTACTCAGAAGTTCCTTGGGCTTCTCCTTACAGCAAAATCAGCCCGTAAATGCACCCCACGGTGCTTGCGGTGGCGCTGCTTTCCCTTCCGTCTTGCACATCCCATTTCTAAGTAAGCACACGCCCTGTAGGTTCTCCAGCCTCTGAAAAGCAGGAGCTTGTCCTATTCGTTCTTCATCCCTGCTCCTCTCTCAGTACCTGCATGGGACACATGCTCTCATTTCAGGAAATACTCCAGCCTTCGTCATAGTCATCCTCTCCTGCAGTGTGACCCGGGCCGTGCCTACCACCCACTCCTTTCTCATCGTTTCCATCTAGTGCTGGCTACCTGGGTGTTGTGGGTGGCAGGGTGTTCCGTGGTGTGGTCTAGAGGTAATGACGGTTGTTGGCATCCTGGCTGCTCGGCCTGTGTCCTGTATGTAGCCTGTGAGTTACGGCCTGGAAGTACACAGAAGTACTCCTCTTGGTTTCAGTGAGTGTGAACAGCCGCTGGAGGTGAAGAACAGCAGTCTGCAGAGAACGGGCTCCTCTGAGTCAACCGATTCAGGTATTCTTTTGCTCTGCGTTCGGTCCTTGTCGTTTATCGTGTGTCTGCTGTGTGGGGAACAACACTGGGAATTTGCTGAAACATGCGCTTTCACCTAGAAACTTTGTGTGGCAGTGTGGCGGGGGAGGACGTCAGTCGGGCTGACGCTCAGCTGGCTGTCGGGTCGTGGGGACATCAGGGAGGAGCGGCGTTGCTAGGCAGGCTGCTGGGCCCCGTGCCCCCCGGCCGCCTTGGGTGAGGTGGGCACCGCCCTTGGTGTATTTTTGCTGATACAAGAAATACTTGCCTTGCTTGTCATCGGACACAATTGTATTTCCCAAGCCCCCAAAATATGCGTAGGATCTGACCAGATAAGCTATTTGAGATAAAAACTGTTCCAGAACACTGGTACTGCATATTACCTCCATGGTTGGAACTCACAGGAAGGAACTGGGTAACCTCTTATCTGAACAACCACGCACTCGCTGTCTCCTCAGATCCTATTTTCCCTGATGGTATTTGCAAGTAGGAAAGGGGGATTAGTAGGTACACCATGACAATGTTACGGCTTGTGCAGGTACTATGTTTTTGACAACCATATAGAGACTGGACTTCATTTTTGGCATACAGTCCAAGCTGTGAGTCTTTGTTAACTGGCCTAAAGAAACAGTACCAAGAATTTTACTTGTTTTAATGACAAAATGGTGTTTCATGTACTGTTTCCTAAGATATTTTTATTTTCCACAGGCTTCTGTCTGGATTCTCCTGGGCCCTTGGACAGTAAAGAAAAGTATGTATTCACTGCTTTTAAATGTGCTTAGAAAAAAAACTTTTTCCTTTCTTTCTTTCTTTCTTTCTTTCTTTCTTTCTTTCTTTCTTTCTTTCTTTCTTTTCTTTTTTTTTTTTTGTGGATGAAATTTGTCATGCCCTGGATTTAGCTGTCTCTGGGAAGACTCCTGGATCTTATAAACAGTCTGGTATCTTAATGACGATGAGTCGTTTGTGTCAGCAGTTTTCAGAACTTCCCTTTCTTTATTTTAGCTGTAATTTGATGTTCTGTTTGAGTGTCACTCAGGCCCTTGCCCTGCCCTCTGACTTCCTGGCCTTAAGAGCATGTGTGCATTTGAAGAGAGGGCCTGGGCTTGCTTTTTTTACCCTTGAAGCCAGGGTTGGGGGGCTTGTGAAAACAGGACAGCTTCAGAAATCCGTTCTGCTTGCCTAAAATGGGAATGTTTTTGACTACCCTCAGACTATAGACTGAACACTGTATATTCTACTACCTCTTTGCTTTGTTCTCATTATTGACCTACTGATTCTATTGCAGCCTTGAAAATCCCATGAGGAGAATAAATTCCTTACCTGTAAGTTAGTTCCCTTGTACATTTTGAACTAATACCTGTTATCTGCCTCTCAGTTACCAGTGTGATCTTGATAGTAGACATTAATTTAGACAAGGAAAACTGCTTTTCCTTAGTCTCAGAAACACTCCGATATTCCTACTTCAACTTCAATGACTGCCTCTTTTTCCACTATCTCTAACGATCAGTTTTATCAAAAAGCAGAAGTTCTTTCTCCTGCTTTTTGATAAAAGTGATAGTGTTGGGGGGAGGGGGTGATCCGGCGACCCCGAATCCCAGCTGAGAGGGCTGTAGACCCTGAGGATTAAGTGTGAAGCCCGCGGTGGGAACTCACATCCTCTGTCCCAGCCGCGCGCTCTGCGGTGTGAGGAGCGAGGGAGGCCGCGGCCCACCACCACCCATCTTCTTTTCTTTGGAGAACTAAGTTGCCATTGAATTTTCCTGTACGAACCCTAATTCCTTCTTTACTTCAATAGCAAAAGCTCTTGGGTTGTAGTCCAGCTCTGAAGAGGAGCCATTCTGAATCTCTTGACCACGATGTCTTTCAGCTGATGGACCAGGATGAGAACAAGGAAAACGTGAGTGTTGCATCAATGTATTCACTTAGGGCAGGAGGAAAGCCTGCAAGTGCCGGTGGCTCCCAGAGATGCCTCTGGGCTGCTTTCTGGGAGACTGAGCTCTACCAGGGTCACGGTGGTCTTGGGAGTCAGAGAAGCCTCGATTTGAATCCTGCTGCTACTTAGCTCTGTGCCCTTGGCGAGTTATTTCTTCTTTTAGGCTTCTTCATTTCTTTGTTTGTAAAATAGGAGTAGCCTCAGAGGGCTGTTGTGGGAATTAAGTGAGAGAACAGAGCGGTTCCTGGCTGGTTTATCTGGAGCTGTCTGCCCAGGTCTTCCTTGCCCCTTTGTGTGCTGACCCTGGGATGAGTTGTGAGCTTAGGGAAAAGCTGCTTGACAGCATTTGAAAGGATAGAGCCCACAAGTCCCAGTCCCACGGAGTCTCCGAGTAACTGAAATGATAGCTTAGCAGATGAGCTTGTGGCTGTTCATTCACAAGTCCAAGAATATGTGGGCGTGGCTTTTCTCTCATACCTGGCACAGGTGGCTTGCACAGGGTAGGCATCCAAAATATTATAGTTCAAATGAATTAGCTCAACTTTGCCAGTCTTCTTACTGTATTTCCACAGCCACTTTTACCCTTTCCCATTCCCTGCTAACATGCCACAGTTCATAATCCTTGTATTCTTCCAGACTTTGTATAAAACCTACTGACCTCCCAGTGATTCCTTGGCAACTTGCAAGATGTCTTGAGACTATATAAATGAGTCACTGCCTCGGGTGCTTGAAGACTTGTGTCAGCCGCTGTGCGGTGGCTTTCTCCCCAACAGTCCAAACCTGTACCCCTGCTTAGTCCATCTGTGTCCCCCTCATCCCTCCCAAATTTGACTTCTCCCAGCGTTGCCTGCTTGGAGTTTTGTTCTGAAAGGGAAACAGCAGAGGTTAAAGAGCTCTTGCTCTGGAGTTGTCCTGTATGACTGTGAAGCCAGATCTTAGGCACATCACAGCCTGTAAGGCTTAGTTTCCTCATCTGTAAAATGGGGATGATCAGGTTGTAGTTGCTATTTAATGAGCTGATGGACAGAAAGTACTTCATCATGTACTGGCATGCAGGTACTCTGATATTAGCTTTACTGCTCTGAATACATAACAAGTGATTAAGTGGGTATTTTAAGTGGAAAAAAATTACCTCCTATTGGGAGGGAGAAGGTGGAAAATATAAAAGCCTCAAGGAAATCTAGAGTGAAAAGTTTTGGCCCCATTCGCAGGCATACCGAAATGACTTCGCTTTAGATTTTACAAAGTTGTTGATTTAACTTAGAACTCACAGTGTTTGCGTACTTGGCAGATAAATGCTTGTGAGGAAATAACAGCGTGGTGAGAAACAAATGCTGTATTAGAAGTTAGCTGTTGACAGAGGCTTTGAAATTCTTAGTTAGGCAGATCCGGTGTTGGAGTTAGATCAGAAACGTGTAAACCGTTAGTTTGGGGTCAGTTATAGAGATGATCGTGCCCACTCCCTTGTCCATCTCACCTGAGCTATAGCTGAGGCCCTAGACCTGGTTTCCATAGACCGTGGAAGATGTCTCGACTATACTGTCTTGCAGGAAGCCTTTGAGTTTAAGAAGCCAATAAGACCTGCATCTCGTGGCTGCCTACACTCTCATGGACTTGAGGAGGGTAAAGATCTCTTCACACAGAGGCAGAGCTCTGCCCCAGCTCGGATGGTATGTGCTCTGGTTTTCATAGGGAAGTTTCTGATGGGAAGAGAATTAAAGAGCCTTTAACCTGGAATTGAAGACACTGCAGTCGCTCTTGCTGTCTTTACCTTGACTGACTTTGTCTTTCAAAACGAGATGGCCACATTTTTGATGTTTTTGCTGTGTCTGGAGAGCAGATAGGCAGAAGCAGAGTGAGGAGCAGTATGCTTGAGATATTGAGACTTGAGCAAAAAATGTTTGACCTTGTCAATTCTGGGAAAATAGCCTGCAGGCATCCTGGGTTGTTCTGCCATATGTATAGTGGGATTATATGTCCTAAAATTTGCTCTTTCACTTAGCACCCTGAGTGCTAAGAGGTACTTCCCCAAACTGATTTTTGGAGAGAACACTTAGCTTCTTCCAAAGGTGGTTTATTGAGAACTATTGTGGACTTCAGGAAACCTAGTCTTTGGGCTACTTGATAGTAATTGGGGCCACTTGGCATATGGTGATTTATTTGCTAGCCAGAGACTATCATTACTTCCAAAGTTTTCTGCTGGTGATCTGACAGCTATCGATTAGTGAGGTCCAACTTGACCAAAATGACCACTTTGGTTTCCAGGTTTTCCTGGGAACATGCATCTGGAAGTACAACTCTCCAGAATGGCTTACGGTCTAAGATGTGGGTTCAGGCAGTATTGCTGTGTCTAGCGCTAGGAAAGAGCACTTTATGTTTTTTTATCTGTGAAATAGCTAGACTTACCCATTTTACAGATTGGGAAAGTGGTCAGGGAGTTTGGATGATCTGCTAAAAAGTAGAAGACCAGGAATTAACAAAACCTGATTCCTAAGTGCACAGTAACCCTTTGAGAACTGGGTGTCCAAACTCAATGTGTTTAGTGTGTGTGTATGCTTGAAGCCAGCATTTCCTGTGGTCACTTGGCCGTCCCTAATTGTAAGCTGAAAGTGTAACTGAAAGAAAGCCGGTGCTGACCTCCCGGGTGTGGCGTTTGATCATGTCACAGGCTATGTCCTTTGTGTCCTTGCTTTTAGTCTCCAGGCACCATCTGTCTTTCCTCATAGTGGCTTCTTGGTGTAAGAATGATGGAGGAAGAATTATCTGTCCAGAGATTTGTTTGTCATTTTCTTTTATTTAAATTTTATTTACTGATTTTTGAGTGGGGGGAAGCATTGATTTGTTGTTCCACTTATTTATGTATTCATTGGTTGGTTTTTTAGGGTTTGTTTGTTTTTTTTAGGATTTTATTTATTTTTAGAGAGAAGGGAAGGGAGAGGGGGAGGGAGGGAGAGAAACCAATGTGCGGTTGCCTCTCACATGCCCCCAACTAGGGACCTGGCCTGCAACCCAGGCATGTGCCCTGACTGAGCATCGAACCAGTGGCCCTTTAGTTTGCAGGCTGGCACTCAATCCACTGAGCCACACCAACCAGGGCCATTGGTTGATTCTTGTATGTGCCCTGACCAGGGTTTGAACCCACAACCTTAGTGTATTGGGATGACACTCTAACCAACTGAGCTACCTGACCAGGACTGTAATTTTTTTCTCCTTTATTTTCTATTGTTTATTCTACAGTTCTCCCTCCCCCCCCCCCCATTTTGGCCCCCTCCACCCAACCCACCCATATCTCCCACAGTCAGTCCCCCTCTCCGTTGTCCATGTCCATGAGTCATTCATACATGGTCTTTGACTAATCCCTTCCCCTTCCTTCCACCTTGTTTGTCATTTTCTATTGTACATCTGCACCCAGGGATTCAAGAACCTAGGTTACAAAAACTGGTGTTATATCATAACAGGATCACATGGAAGATGTTGCCCATGATAGTTCCCTACCCCTACGTTCTGCTGGGAGGAAAGCTGCTAGCATGCCCAGGGGCGCTCAGGTGCACTTGCACAGGATCAAAGAGAGCTCAGAACTTTTTTTATGTTGGGGAGCAAAGCTAGTGCCCAGACAGCATGCCAGCCGCAGAGAGGATTCCTGGTGAGTGATCCACCCAGGGCCTCTTGAAGATCCGTGCACTCAAGCCCCAAAGGGATTTGGATTTTAAGGATATTTGTAGGACTTGTATGGCAGCCACCCTGTTACTATGGGGGAAAATGTATCTCTGAACTTTTTCTCTGGCTTTGGAAAGCATGTGGAAAAAAAACAATGAAGTGTCAGCAATACTTGTATTAGGAGTGTTTATCTCTAGTTGGTAGATTTACGAGGGGTTTAAATTTTCTATGTCAGGTATATACTGGTTGAATAATGGAGCTTCCCCAAAAATCAAAATAGGGTTGCCTAATGGGATGCCCATTTCACTCCAGGGATGGTCGCTCTCCTAGGGAGAGTGTACTGGGGAGAAACACTTGGGCTTTCGAGTCAAAACAAGTGAGCTCTGCGGTCTTGGTAACCTTGCTTAAGCATTGGTTTTCTGATTTTTTTTTTTTTTTTAATTATTGATTTTTAGAGGAAGGGGGAAGGGAAAGAGAGAAACATTGATTTGTTGTTCCACTTATTTATGCATTCATTGGTTGCTTCTTATATGTGCTCTGACCAGGGATTGAACCAGCAACCTTCGCATATTGGGAGGATGCTCTAACTAACTGAGCTACCCAGCCTGGGCTGGTTTTCTGATTTGTTAAATATAAAGAAAAGGATTATCTTCACTGTGTTGGGAGACTTAAATGGGAATATACCTGTAAAGGTTATATCATAATGTCTGGGCACACAGTAATTTCTCAGTTAAAAACTGAGCAGTTGTCATTTATTTTTTTTAAAAAGATTTTATTTATTCATTCTTAGAGGGAGAGGAAAGGAGGGAGAAAGAGCGGGAGAGAAACATCGATCGACTGCCTCCCACCCACCCCCAGCTATGGACCCAGCCTGCACCCTAGGCAGGGGCTCTGACTGGGGATGGAACGCCCAGCCCACTGAGCCACACCAGTCAGGGCTGAGCAGCTGTCATTTAAATTCCAAGTCAGGACTATAATGACAAACATGTCTAGAAAGATGTGGTCCAAGGCCATTTTTGCTGGCTATAAACGGTCTCCGGAACCAGAGGGAGCTCACAGCTCTTCTTAAAACTGAAGGTGTTTATACTGGAGATGAAATCGAATTCCATCCAGGCAAGAGAGGTGCTTGTGTGCACAAAGCAGAGAACAGCGCAGTGCCTCCTTGTGGTGAACCCAACAAAACCAGAGTGAGCCGGGGAAAGGGAACTCGTGCTCACAGAAATGGTGGCGTGGTTTGGGCAAAATTCCGGAGCAGCCTTCCGGCTAAGGCCGCTGGACACAGAATCTGTGTGATGCTGTACCGCTCAAGGATTTAAACTTATTGAAAAGTAAACAAACAGCCCTGACTGGTGTGGCTCAGTTGGCTGGGGATCCTTTGGCAAAGTGAAGGCTTCCCGGTTGGGGTGCCTGCTTGGGTTGTGGGTTCCATCCCTGGTCAAGACGCAAAGGGGAGCCAACTGACGGATATGTCTCTTACACATCAATATTTCACTTACGCTCTGTGTAAGAGAGGTTAGTCCTTCTCTTCCCTCTCTCAAAAATAGGTAAATAAAGTCTTTTTTTAATAAAAAAAGTTAAAAAAAAAAAAAAGATTTAGGATCAAAGCCCTGTCTGGGTAAGTCAGTTGGTTAGAGCAGGGGTCCCCAACAACCGGCCCTTACCCCTGCCCCCGACCCAGACCGGTACTGGTCTGTGGCCTGTTAGGAACTGGGCCTGAGGCCTGAGTTCGACCTCCTGTTGCCCTGCCCCCCACCATCCATCCACAGCTAGAGCATCATCCAGAATCGCCAAGTTTGTGCGTTCATTTCCGGGTCTGGGCACATTCAAGAATCAACCAATGGATGCATAAATAAGTGGAACAACAAATTGATGTGTGTGTCTCTCTCCCTTCCCTCCTCTCTCTCTAAAATTAATACATAAAGAATTAGGATCGATTTTTCTAGAACCATGTCACCGTTTACTTCCCTCTGTCAGAACTGGAGTTATGTAAGCATTCTCTAGGCCATTTTGTGGCCTAGAGACTTATCTTCTCACCCTTCCTCATTCAGTCAGATTATCGCCTTGTGGCAATGCCCATGTTGATCTGTGTTGACTGATTATAATTCTCTGATAAAACAAACCTTGTCTTTCACCAAGAGCTGTCCCCGGCCCCTTCTGTCAGGCGAATTGCTTCCAGGAAGCCTTCTTTGTGAAGACTGTCTGGCCTGACCCTACCTGACACTGTGTGTGGGCATCACATCATTTCTAATCTTGGGGTTCATAGTCCTTTGATTAGCAGCTGCTAAAATTGTACTTCTTATAAACAAGGTGCTGTTTTCCCATCCAAAGTAATGACCCATCCAGAGAAATCAAAGTTGAACATCTAGTCACAAAGCATGAATTCTGTCTTGCAGCTTTCCTCAAATGAAAGAGATAGCGGTGAACCAGGGCATCTCATTCCTCTTTTTATGCCCCAGTCACCTGTGACTGCCACTTTGTCTGATGAAGATGATGGCTTCATGGACCTCCTTGATGGAGAGAATCTGAAGGTACTGTGTATGTGTGTGCACGTGTGCGTGCGTGTTCCTACCCGTTCCACTAACTACCCCTAGAGAAGTCATGTGAAAAAGTGCAGCGATTCCTGGGGCTTGAGTTGAGTGATATTTTTGTTCATTTGGTGAGAAATTCAGATGATCCTTCTAGATTAAATCGGGGAGGGGGCGTTCAAAAGAAGACACCAATATGATCCTTCTTAACCTGAAGTAGCTCACAATCTATTTTTGTGCAGTAGGTATGACTGTGGAGGGAGGGGTGCTTTCAGCTGTGGTCAGATGACTGAGCTGTAAAGTATGATTCTCTTCTGACCTTAAAATGTTGGGGAGTGGGGAAGAGAGACGAATGGTAGATGCTATCTCTCCAGGTCTATCTGGTATTCTTCAGGCAAAAATCACACCTAAAGCATTTAAACTAATGCTAGTCTCTACTGGATCGTTGTAACATGTTTTTTTTTTCTTTCTTTAGAACGATGAAGAGACCCCGTCCTGCATGGCAAGCCTCTGGACAGCTCCCCTTGTCATGAGAAGAACTACAAACATTGTAAGGAATTCTGGGATATCTGGGGGGAGCTTTAAGTACTTAGGCCTCTGAGACAGAGTGAACTATACGGAAAACTAATCCTTCTACCCACATCACCGTTGGAATCAGAAACTATTTGAGATTCTGTCTTTGGGTCTGTGGGTCTTCACTGGTCACGAGTGTTTTCTGGTGTTAATGCACACTTTTTTCAAGGTTTTTTTTGTCCTCATTGATGTATGAGGAAGTCTGGGTAATATATATGCATGCAATTCTTGTTTTTTTGATTTCTAGTTCATCCTAATCATTCTTGGTCAGCTAATATCCTTTCTGTGCAGCTTGGACCTCTATTAACTTCTGGTTTAAGATCACTGGAAAATATCTGCTAAACTGAATTTAAGAAATTAAATTATTCTTAAACTCCCTAAGTTGATATTGGCTTAGATTTTAATTGAAAGCCTCATGAGCGAGCAGTTTGTAGCTGACAAAAGGAATAGGACCCTAGGCAGTGTAAGTAGAAAGACTTCCGTTGCAGGCACCACCCATGCCCACTCAACCCAGCCGGTGGTCCCACAGCAGACACAGCCCCTCTTCCTCCGGGGTGTTGACTAGAGAATCCTGACCAGAACAAAAAACGATGGTGCGAGCCCTACTGTGTTCTCATTGGGTTGGAGAGAACACACTAGATCGCCATGTGTTTTATTTTCCATACTTGAGAATGTGGAAAGACTAGAGCACATTTAGAAAGCAACCAGTACAATAAGGAGACTCAAAACTGTGATAGATACTATGGACTGGTTGAAAACTTGGGACAGAGGGCTTAATTGCAAGAAGAATTAGTCTTGTTCTTCAATGAGAAAAAGAACAATGGTCTGACTCTGGCAGAACTGTGAGATGGCTGTGCAGGAGCTAGCAGGGTCCTGTGGCGGTTCGTGTGTGAGCCAGGGAGATGAATTAAGGTGTGGGAAGTCGGAGAGCGCCACTCGTGTATAGGCCGGAAGGTCATCCAGGAAGAGATGCTGTAGGAGAATCAAGTAGCATCTTGGGGTTCCTCGCAAGCCGCAGGGATTGATGGCACCGTAGCATTCTAAGCTGTGGGTGCAGGTATGGATAGCCTGGGGGTGTGGCCCTGAGTGAGGCAGAGTTCACAGGCTGTGGTTAGTCTCAAAACACAGCATCTCCCCCAGGAGTCACTGAGGAGCACACAGCCACGTGGGCGCCCGGCGTGTAGGGGCGCATTTGCAAGGTGGGGAGCTGGCCATCTTCTACCCCTAGGCCTCTGGCTCTCGTCTTAGTCTTGTTTCAACTTTCTGTCCAAGTTTTTCAACATTTGCACATAAAATGTGCCAAACATTTGAAATACTGCTTTACCTCTGTTTTCTACTTAAAGATTCTATTTTACTCTAGGTATTCCCCACATGGCGTTTAGTTAGGATTATTTTGGAGTTCAAGGGTACTGAGTATTACCTGCAGATAAGTGAGGTTTTATGTATTTTTTCTGTTTTTCCATTTCTCCTGTATAGACTTACCCACAGTTCATGTATAGTCCGTCTTAACTGGGACAGACTCTTGAATTTCTCTTGCTTAATTTAAGTTGGAGTTGCCCTTGGTTTGGCCGCTCTGTTGTAACTGTGAACAGTGTGAGCACAGCCTGTGTGACACTACTCTCTGTTGGCTCCGAGCCCTGCAGTGGCCGCTGAAGCTCCGCCCTGCTCTGGCCCTCACAGGTGCCCCTGGCTCTGAGCGAGGGTCTGACTTTGAGAAGGGGCAGCCAGCATGCTGTGTCCACCAACATTGGCTTCAGCTAGGAATTTATGGGGTCACTAGATGATACGTTAGCCTGTGCTTCCATATTGAGACTTTGCTTCCAACCAGTGTCCTTTAATTAGTCACATTTATAGCCTCTGTGTTGTCCTCTTGCCCTAGATAGGATTTGTCTCCACTGTCATCATCAGTTACAACTTTGTTTATTTCAGCCCCAGTATTAAAAACTTCCCGCTTAAACAGCAGTAAGACAACAGGAAGTGGGTGGTGGTTCTTCTGTTAAGGACAGCAGCTTATCTTGTGAGAGGGGCCCTGTTAAACTCCTGCAGGCAGCCGTGTGTCGTGGGTTAGCGTGCGGCAGTGTGGGCACTGCAAGGTGGGAGTGTCTGTCACTGGGAAGAACCGCAGGTGGTGAGCAACCACCTCGGTGCAGTGAGCAGGTCAGGGAGGATTCATCTGAGCTGGGTCTCAAGGTACGTGGCAACTTGTTAGGCAGCAGAATGTTCTTTCTCATGAAGTAACAATTGATCTGAGGACATAGCAAGTAGCCCAGTGAAGCTGGAGGTTGGGGCCTGTGTGGTGGGGGCGGGGGAGCAGCAAGATGGGTGTGACTGGTCTGTTGACCTAAGTGCTTTAGGCTCGAGTCCCCGGGAACTCTGGGGCTCCTACAGTGCTACTGTGTTTGGGGTCTGGGGTCAGTTACAAACATGCCACTTGGGAGCCTGCTGCGACTATTCAGAGAAGTGCCTAAGACCTCCTCTGAATATGTAGAGAGGAGGGGACAGATTGAAGGAATCTTCATAAAGTAGAATTACTGGTGTTTGGGTGTGACAGAAGCAAAGGAGAAGCAGCCATGACAGTGCCACCGAGGCTTTCGGTGTGAGAGACACTCATGAGGTAGTTTCTTGACTTTGTAGGGGGGTGAGTGAGGGTGGTGTGTGTGTTTTAAGTGCCTGAAGCGTGGAGAGCAGACTGTCTCCTGTCTTCCGCATATCATCTCGGATGGTGTAGGTGTGCGCATGTTTCCCAGTCTATGAAATAAGGAACGTCGATTAGAAGAGACCAGAGTTGTTTGGAAAAGCCTTTTTAATCTGAAACCTTTAATCTGAAATTTTTTTTTAGATCAGTCTCATTCATTTATATTCCATAGCACCTAGCACAACACTTGATAAGCAACAATGACTCACAGAATGTTTATAGTTTCTCATGGAAAATACCCACCCTATCAATATGCAGACTCACGTTTCCATTAGAGATACTTTCAAATGGAAAATTTCAAGCAAGGCCGTGCCTACACAGGTATACCTTATTTAGTATGCACATGCCTGGAGAAAATTCAGTATTGTCACAGTACAAATTCAGAGTTAACACAGCCTTAGCTATATGTATACATTTATAAGTACATTTTTAATGATCAATGTCCCTGACTATAGCTACAGGAAAAATGAACTACAATCTTAAGGCCACCTAAATTATCACAGATTGTGCATAGCTTTAATGAATAGGCTACCCCAATACAAATGTTATAACTAAATTTGTAGGTCCTTTTGAAAGACATAAAATTATATACAGTGTAAGAATGCTTGGAAAATGACTACCAGTTCTATAAATTGGAATTTAAAATCACCAGTGGAGTGCTCTGGGCCCTTCACAGTGGGCGGTATCCCGCCACCGGCAGCGACCGCAGACTCGCAGTGGCCGAGGCTGTGTTGGAGTTGTGGTTCTGCCTTTCAGAGCTCACAGTTCCCCTGGGCCCTGTTGACAGCAGTGGACCCTCTTCCCAAAAATGCTCCCAGATCTTCTAGGTAAAAAGAAAAATCTTTGGCTTTTCTTTTCTTAACATTCCACTGAAATAAACTTAAGAGAATAAGAAATAAGTCCGTGGCCCCCAGCAGATCCAGTGCGGGAGGCCCGCACTCCACCAGAGCCTCTCAGGAGCATTTCAGAAAAGAGGCGGCATTGAAATTGGTCCTGAAAAGGGCTTTCTGCATGGAAAGAAAGGCGCAGCCACAGCACACTGACTCACGGTCAGGCTGATGGGCTGTCCTCGGGTCTCTGGGTAATTAGTCTTAAAATGACTCAGGTAGAGAGGACTTTTGCACACAATTTTGAAAGGTGTTTGCTCCTCCTTGGGCCCCCGGGCCCTCCAGACTTACACTCTTAACTCTGTTTTAACCACCTTACTAGCTCTGTCTTACCCTCTAACTACCTCACATCATTTCTGGATTTAGGTAAGATACTAAAATCTGTTGGGCTGCTCAAGCAAGGTGCAAGTAATAAAACAGAGGGATGGCAGATGCCAACAATGGGCTCCTGCCTGGAAGGTGACAGTTATTTGACTCTTAGGACCCTGTGTAGACACCAACTTTTTGTAGGGCATGGCTCGTCTTCCTCGTTTCTGTATGTTGGCTTAGTACGTGTTCATTGAGCACCAGGCACTGAGTGCCTGCCAGGTGCCAGACCCTGCGAGAGTTGCGGGCACTAGGTGAATGGGCAGTGTCTGCTAGTGTAGGGTGGATCTTAAACCATCACGGAAGACCTAGGTCTATCCTCTTTACCATTCAGATGAGCAAGTTTTAATGAAAGATGATTCTCTTTCCCCCCCATCCCCCCCCAAAGGACAATCGGTGTAAGCTGTTCGACTCCACTTCCCCGGGTGGCTCCACCATGCGGTCAATGTTGAAAAGACCAGAACGATCTCAAGAGGAGTCCCCACCTGGACACACAAAGCGGAGGAAGAGCATGGCTTGGGCCAGTCCCGACGAAGCAGCTTGTTCAGAGAAGCCCCAGGAGGTTGGTTTTGCAGGTTCCATTTTGCTGGAGGAGAGTTATACTGTGTTTTTTCAGTTCTGAAATTTCCATTGGATTCCCTTGCTTTGCTGAGACTTGCTTTTTGTTTGTTTCACACACGTTTGTGATTGCCTCTTGAAGCATTTTTATGATGGCTGCTTTGACATCCTTGTTAGATGATTCTAACTTTTGTTTCATGATGTTGGCTTCTGCTGATGGTCTTTTCCAATTCAAGTTGTGACTTTCCTGGTCTTGGTCTGACAAGTGATTTTTCAGTTGTATCTGTATTTTGGGTCTTACAAGACTCTGGTCTGGTAAATCTTTTGTTTTAGCAGGACGCCTGGTGCTGCAGGGAAGGTGGGGATAGAAGTCAGGGTCCCCACCACAGCCTCCCTCGGCGTGACGCACTGGGGCGAGCCTCATCACTGCCGGCCAGGAGTGGGCACCTAAGCTCCCTGCGGGGCCTCCGCCGACGCCATCCCAGGGCCTTTCATTCTGTTCACACCTCATGGGGCCCAATAAAAGTTTAATTTTTATAAAGGTTTCATCTGTGCTCAGAAAAACATGTATCCTCTTAGGTGTCACATTCAATAAATCTAATTCTATCTAACTGCCCAAGGTAATGAATTGCATTGCTTATAGTTTTATGGTTTGTTTTCAATTTTTAAACACTATAAACAGCCATAGTATTCACCATCCTTACCTGTTTATTGTTGGGGAATAAGGGGTTGCTCTGGGTGAATGCTATATACATTCATTATGTCTACTTTCTTTTTTTAAAATTTAATCTTTATTGGGGTTTTTTCCCCATTACCATTTAGCCCCCTTATACCCTGTCCCTCTATATCTATTTTCTAAGGAGAGTCAGCAATGCACATGCCTCCCAGAAACAAAGGAATTTGCATTTATCAAACTTCTCCCCAGCACCAAATGGTATCCATCCTAGCGGGTTTTGCTGTTTTGATGTGTGAAAAGCGTTCTCTCATGGCTGTATCTTGACTCCAGGGGAGATTGAGCATCTTTTTTTTTGGACCATTAACCGTATCTGGATGAGTGACCTATTTTCAGAGAGTTATGGTTCTCTGGGTATTAGGTCTCCTGCTCCTTTGTGTTACTTAATCTCTTTCTGATATAAACTAAAGCCTTCAAAACATTAGTGTAATCTGCCCTGTCTGGTGTGGCTCAGTAGGTTGGTCGTTGTCTCATGGAAGGTCGCTGGGAAAGGTTGCAAGTTGGATTCCTTGTCCAGTGACTACAAGGGACAACTGATGTTTCTCTCGCATACCCATGTTTCTCTCCTCTTTCTCCGTCCCTTCTCCTCTCTCTGAAAATAAAGAATGAAAATCATAAAAAAAAAAAAAAAGCCCCAACAACATTGTATTCCAGCTGTGTTTACTCCATTTTTGTCAACTTGTTTGTGTATTTTGGCTTATAGTTTGTAGATTTCCTGATTTTAAAACTATTTTTGCTGCCCTGGCTGTTGTGACTCAGTGGATTGAGCGCTGGCCTGTGAACCAAAGGGTCGCTGGTTCAATTCCCAATCAGGGCACATGCCTGGGTTGCAGGCCAGGTCCCCAGTAGGGGGCACGCAGAAGGCAACCACACACTAATGTTTTTCTCCCTCTCTTTCTCCCTCCCTTCCTTCCCCTCTCTCTAAAAATAAATAAAATCTTTAAAAACAAAAACAAATGTTTTTGCTTCCTGAAATGTCATGTTTGGCTTACTTAGAATTGCTTTTGTTTATGCACGTGTTTTTCGTTCATTGTACTTATACCAGGTTTTGGTATTAAGGTTTGGTATTAAGCATTAGAAAGAAACTGGAAAAGTGCCTATGTTTTCTGTAGCAGGAAAACATTTGAGTAAATATCAGTCGTCTTAAAAGGCTACCTAGATTGTATCCATGAAAACATCTAGGCTGGATGCCTTATATTTCATAATCTGCATTAGGCACCTAATATTTTATGAACATTTTATTTTTTCTAATTAAAGTAGGAATTCTAGAATAAAGGGCAGAAACATTTATGAAACTTTGCCTTGTATACATGTTCAATAAATTGCCTTTCAGAAGCTTCTAGTTTATATATCTATTAATATTTAAGAGTCTTCATTTCCTTTTGCTGTACTTGGGATTTATCATTTCATTTTCTCAATGTCATCCCCAGTTATCTCCTAAATGCTTTTTTAGTTTGTTCAAATCTGCATCCAAATACGGTCTCTACATTGCAATTGGTTGATAGGTCTCTTATTTGGACTCTTGTGCTCCATCTTTTGTTTCTCTCTTATGATTTATTTGTCGAAGAACTCAGGTCATTTGTCTGGTAGAGGTTCCCACAGTCCTACAGGGTCTTCTAACCTTGTGTTCTGTTCGGGTTCCATTTCATTGGCAAGAGTGTTTCATGGGTGATTTTGTTCACTTCAATCAAGAAACACATGATAGGCAGTCATTGATGGTTGTTGCCTGGATTTATTACTTCATTTAACCAGGGTTTCATAAAGGCAATCCTGCAGGTCCGTGAGTCTTTCTTTATTAATGGAATGTTCTTATAAAGAGAAACTTACCCACATCAAACTCTATGATCACCCTTCGCAGGGGCAGGATGAAAGCTGAATTTAATTGCCAGTTTTCCAAATAATGCCCTACCTAGCATCCTAACAAAATTGACACTGAGGCTTTTAGGTTGTTTTTCAATAAAAATTATGAACTAATGGATTAAAACATGATGTTCTTCTATATATTGCTGTTTTTATCCTTTTTAATGCTCAAATTAATACTTGTTATTTGGTTACCTCTTCAGTTTGGCTCCTGAGGTTGTTTTTAAATATGAATAATGAAATATTTTACCATATATACTGAAAAGCATGCAAATAAATGAATATCTTAATGGGTTTTTACAACATGAACACATCCCCATAAAATACCAACTGCAATCAAGAAAGCGCATGTGCGGCAGCCCCCGCCCCTCTGGTGCGCCTTCCCTCAGCAATGCTGACCTGCCCTGGTGCCTTCGCTGAGTTTTGCCTTTTACATGTGGGTTCTCTTGCTCAGCATTATTTTTGTGAGAATCACCTATTGTGTAGTTCCATGGAGTCTGTCTTTTTCATTGAAGCATAGTGTTTCATTGCATGAACAAAGTACTGATTATTTCTTCTACTATTGACTGATATTTGGGTGGTTCACAGGTTTTGGCTACTATCAATGAAGCTGCTATAAGTACATATCTGTGTTTGTGTGTGTGTGTGTGGTTTTTGGGGAGGGGTAAGCATATACTTTGATTTCTCATGGAAATACTGGTCCTAGGCTAGTTATGTGTTTAGCTTTAGCACATATTGCTGGATAGTTTTCCAAAGTGGTTGTACTCACACTGTGAGAGAGGTCCATTTCTTCAACACCCTTTCAACATCCTTACTAGGATTTGGTGTTGTCCATCCCTTTAATTTTAACCATTATGGTGGGTGTATGGTGTCTGTGATTTTAATTTGCATTTCCCTGCCTGGTAGGCATTTTTCTTGGTGCTAGATTTTCCTCTCTGTATATTGCTTGTCCAAGTTTTTGCCCATTTTTCTATTGAGTTGTTTATTTTGTGAGAGTACTATCTACATTCAGAAGTGAAATTTTTATCCTATCAATGTGTGTCTTCCCACTTGGCTTTGCCTTTTTCTCTTTATATTGTTCTTTTGATGAAGAGAATTTCTTGATTGGTAAATGTATTTCAACTTACGAATTTTTAAAATTTGTGTTTAGTGCCTAAGAAATTCTTAACTCCCCATGATTAGCCCTTTTGACCTTCCCTTTGAAGTCTGATAGCTTCCTTGTCCTGACCTGGCATCAGTCACATCTCCAAAGAGCCCTGGAGTCTTTTGGGTGGAAAAGAGTATTTAGAGACCAGCTATCCTACTGGTGCTCCTGGTACCTCTAAAACTTCCCAGTGGGTAGAGCTAAATAATGCTTTTTGAGACGTAGCCTTACTTTTAATCCTGTTTTAAAGCGGGATGGGGAGGCTTAGTTTCAGAGCAGTTCAGTTAGACACTGAAAGAATAGTAGACTTAGACTTAGCAACTTTTTTTTTTTTTACTCAGATTCAATCAAATATGTAAAACCTTATTTGTTAAATAGAAACATTAACGTTCAGTCTTCTCCTCATGGCATGTTCCAGGTGAATGTTTTCAAAAGTTCCATTTAGAACCCTGGCCTCATTTTCTACTTTTGACTTGTTACAGATTCTACATCAGTCTTTATCCCTGGTGGCTTCCTCAAAAGGGACCATTGAGAACATTTTGGATAATGACCCACGGGACCTTATAGGAGACTTCTCCAAGGTAATTGCAAGCAGATGGAAGCCTCAAGCTATGGGACGCAGGGCGGGTGGGGTTTCCCTAGAACCTCTCTCAGCTTCTCTCCCTTTCTCCGGTGGCTCCTGTGGTGCCCCCAAGAGGACACAGTTTGAAACTTTTAAAGGACAGGAAACAAATTCGGGATCGGTTGTATCTCGGTCTCGGTGAGACTGTAGACCTTACTGGTGCTCATCAGAGGTTTTAAGTAGGAAGCTGCTCACCAGCCACCTTGACTCCAACCCCAAGGCCAGGCTCTCTGGGAACTGTTTATTATAAAAATAGAAATACAGAAAAGTATAAAGAAGCAGAAATCTATAGCCTCACTACCAGGTTATCTTGGAAGGTCCAGGATTGAAACTGAATAGCTGCATTGTCCAGAGAAGCATGGCCTTTGAGGAAAAGGCCCTGGGGAAGTCCAGAGACCGCCTGACACGGATTTCCTCCGGAGAAGAGCCAGCGGCCTTCCGACTGCGGGGAAATTCAAGGGTGGGCCAAAGAGTGTCAGTAGCGGCTTGTTTAGCCACCTGTGACTTGAAGGTTACCAGATTGATCTTTTGTTCGTTAATTTAGCTAACATTTATTGAAGCATGTATTGTTATGTTAGGCAAAGATTTCAGAATGAGACCCAATTCCTTTCCTCAAAAAATCCTAACGTGATCAGTAAGACCTGTCGAACCATGTGGGCACGCACCCCATGTATCTATCACACAGTAGATTGAAACACGTGTCCGTGCAATGGAAGCAGGCTAGGAGCAGTTAGGGGGGCTTGTCCCGGCAAGCAGACTGGGTCTGGGCTGATTACATATTTTGGCCGGCAGGGGAGGGTTTGAAGGAACAGGGAGGCATAAGTGTGTTAAAAATAGGAGACAGTTCCAGTCCAAAGGCAGGAGCAAGCAAAGACCTCGGTGTGTCCTTGCCTGTGGACCCTTCCACCTGAATTGAAGCTGTTGGTTACGTTCATCATGATCCTCCACGGGGACAGCAGAGCACCTGACTCGGGCACTTGGCCTAATGAGGAACCTCTGACGAGCCCATCCTCCCCCCCACCCCCGCCCCCTGGCTCCTCCCTTGCCGGGCCGGGCCTCATTTTTCCTTCTTATTTCCACTGTCTACCATCATGCTGGGCATAGTAGGTATTCAGTAAATGAATAAAGTGTATTTAACATCTGAAAATGAGGGTAATATGCCTGATGGGTTTGTGCAAAAATTAAATGCTCAGAAATTAATTAAGTGACCAGATGGGAAATTAACGTAAACTACTAGGTTTTGTTTTGTTTTGTTTAAAGCTGCCTCTTACCAGGCAGGTAAGCAGTATAAATGTTGCATATATAGGCTTTCATGTTTGCTAAGTCTCTTTCTCTGTCTTTTTAAGGGTTATCTCTTTAATACAGTTGCTGGGAAGCATCAGGATTTAAAATACATCTCTCCAGAAATTGTAAGTCACTTTCTTAGAAGCTGCCTTACTTAGAGTATTTGAATCTAGTTGTTTTTGGCAGGCAAAGTTGATTCTCCTAGGCTTTGTTTCCACAGATGGCCTCTGTTTTGAATGGAAAGTTTGCCAACCTCATTAAAGAGTTCGTTATTATCGACTGCCGGTACCCATATGAATATGAGGGAGGCCACATCAAGGTATGGAATCCAGAGGCTTGCTGGTGAGCCCCGCTGTTACTGAAGGCATAGAAGGAACCCTAGACAGCATCTGCGCCCCCTTTTTTTTTCCTTTTTAATTTTAGAGGAGGGAGAGAGAGAAACATTGATTTGTTCACTTATTTATGCATTGGTTGGTCGATTCTTATATGTGCCCTAACGAGGGATTGAACCCACAACCTTGGCGTATGGGAACAATGCTCTAACCAATGGCCAGGACCAGCATCTGTGATTTTTTTAGAGGGGAAATGGCGACACCTGGCTGCTTACTAGCTGACAAGCTGGCCATGAGAATGAAGAGGCCCTGTGGGAAGGCGTTTGAGCCCTGGTGCACTGAAAGGCTGCCCCCAGTCTGCACTGCTCCCCGCCATGTTGTACAGCAGATGCTCCCTTTTGCGGCCCCCACGCCATCACCGGCAAGGCCATTTCTAGGTGGTGCCCTCTGACTTCTAAGCCCGGGCGCTCTGGCAGCGTTGGTGAGCTGCCTGATGGGAACGGGCGTTAGGACTCACTTTCCCAGGAAACCAGTAACTGCCTATGCATTTTAATCTTTTAACCACTAAAATAGTGTTAAAATGTGGTAAGGAGGCAATTTAAATACACTATTCATGTTTGTCACTGTCTCACGGCATTTGAAAGCCCCCAAATTCACAAATAGCACTCTTGAAGTATGTATAGTTGTCACGGAATCCGAGTTGCCCATTTAAAGATCCTTCCTGTGGAATCATTACTGCAAGTGTGAGATGTGGGTGCCAAGCGCCTCTGATGCCTTCGCAGGGTGCGGTGAACTTGCACATGGAGGAGGAGGTCGAAGACTTCTTACTCAAGAAGCCCATCATGCCTGCTGACGGCAAGCGTGTCATCGTGGTGTTCCACTGTGAATTTTCTTCTGAGCGAGGCCCTCGCATGTGAGTGCTGCGCAGACCGGCGCTCTGGCGCGTGGCGGCATGTGGCTTGCCCGGGGGCGTCCTGTTGCAGATGCCTTAGCCTGCACCATGGCCTGTGAACATGTGGGTTTGTGAAAGTATAAATTCACATGTAGCAGATGTTACCTGAAATTCTCTACGTAGAGGTCACTAGGTGTCATGCACAACTTCCTTGAATGGAGTTAATAATAGGCTTGACCTAACAAGTTCAACTGCAAAGGGCTTGCGGGCGTCTGTCGTCCACCGTCTCTGTGATGGGAGTGTTTCCCAAGCAGTATCCCCTGGGGGTCTGGCCTCTGCGTCATCACCCTCGCTCCTGAGTTGGTTCTTGCCACTGTCAGGCGTGGCTTGGTCTTTAAGCTTCCTTTTTATGGAGTTAAACTCTGGCCCTTCCTGTTTCCCCCACTGTCCTTAGGTCTACCTGTGAGACCACTGTTCTCAGGACATCCTTCAAGTACAATGTAATGGCTCTTTATGCAAATGCCAGAAAACTGTGAAATCCTCACGGCAAAACTTGATGTGATGCTGTTGAGCCCTTGTCCAATCCGTGTTTGCAAAGGCATGGGCTGTATACTCTCTCCCGTTATTGCCACATTACGAGTGAAAAGAAATGCCCCTCTAACCATACCCCTTACTAGCACAAATTTCTGTACGGGTTTTGGTGTCTAAGGCCCCGTTATTACCCAGAGATATAATTTATGCCAAAATAGACAAAAGTATAATTACAATAAAATAACATTCACATAAGATTTAAAGTATTATTCTGATGCTCTAACCCCACGTGCTCACTAATGAATGGTAACAGGACTGGTGCTAAAAAATGGTCAGACGTGAATGATGATGTTGAAAAGCTAGGGGAGGGGCCAGCCCTTCAGAAGGGACTGTGAGCCTGGGGTGTGGCAGGCACTGCTGAGGCAGCAAAGGCACAGCAGTGAGCAGGACTGATGGGGGCCTGCAGCAGGGGAGGTCCCAGTAGGGAGACCTAAGATGCCGTGCCAGGTGCCGACAGACGGGGAAGGAGGTGGGCAGGGCGGGGCACAGCTCCAAATAGGGTGGTCCAAGAGAGGCTCCTCCCTGGGCCCTGCTTTTGGGCCACCTTTTTATTTTGAACCATTTCAAAGCTCAAAAAGGTTATCCCTGCACACGCTTCACCTTATCTCATCAGTTGCTAATATTTTGCCACATTTGCACACGCATAATTCTACACACACAACAGGAACTTGGCATGTATGACTGTCTTCCTAAGTCCTTTAGTAGCTGTCTCCCAAGGGTGAAGACTTTGTCATGCATGAGCACAAAACCATGATCACATGAAAAGGTGGTGCTTTGTAAAAACATTTTATTTATTTATTTTTAGAGAGAGGGCAAGGGAGGGAGAAAGAGGGAGAGAAACATCCATTACATACCCCCAGTGGAAGACCTGGCCCACAACCCAGGCATGTGCCCTGACCAGGAATTGAGCTGGCAACCTTTTGGCAAAGAGGTGGCATTTGAGTAAGACCTAACGCTCATTCCCGAGTGGAATTATTCATTCTAAAGACACTGTTACTTCTCATGTGCCAGACACTTCCAGGTACTGGGGACAACAGCAGTGAACAAAACAGCCCCTGCCTTTAAGGAGCTTGCGTTTCAGAATAAGCAGGAAGCAGGTCAGCATCATGCACGCGTAAACTGTGCAATATGTGAGAAAGCACCTTTGAGACAAGACCCGAGGTGCGAGCTCCTGGGCAGGTTGGAGGAGCAGCGAGGGGACTGCGCAGGGTGCGAGTGACGTGTAGGCAACTGTGAGAACTTTGGCTTTTGTTCCAAGAGTCAGGTAGTAAGGGGTCACCAGCCAGGCGAGGACATCGGGGAAGAATATTTAGTATCCAGTCCAGGCATAGGGCGCAGATAGGTGTCCTGAGGCAGGAGTGAGCTCGGCCTGCGGGCAAGGGAGAGAACAAGGCGGGTCGGAGAGTGCGCGGGAAGCCTGCTGGAGGCTCATCGCAGGCGGGCTGCGGGCGCGGGCAGGGAGCGTGCTAGTCGGAGGTCAGGTGCTAGGGCTATTTAACTTGGAGAAGGGAAATTTGGGGAAGAGACGGTCCACCTTCCAATGTAAGGGCGGTGGCACTGGTCGTGACAGTATTCCTAAAGATCACATGTGGCCAGGAACCCTCAGCTCAGCGCTGCTTTTTTCCAGGAATGAGTGTAAAGTTGACAAGGTGTGTGTAGGGAGTACTTCAACTCCAGGCACGCTTTAGCGGCAGCGGACTTCCTGTTCTGCTGCTTCCTGTGGGAAGAGCTAACCTTGCTTTGCCTGCCTGCCTTTATAGGTGCCGCTACGTGAGAGAGAGAGATCGGCTCGGGAACGAGTACCCCAAACTCCACTACCCTGAGCTGTATGTCCTGAAGGGCGGATACAAGGAGTTTTTTCTGAAATGCCAGGTGAGATGGGCTTTCTGGAGATCTTGGTCCTCCCTTGCCCAGCTTGGACAGTTGGATCTGTCTGATGGTCATGGCTGTTTTTTGCCAGGTGTCTGGGGTCTTCCCTGCACAAGAGGGGCCATAGAACCCACTGTGAGGCCTGCATACTGCTCAGGCTCACAGCCTGGGGCGGGGGCGGGGGGGGGGCGGGGGGGAGGGAGCAGGACTGGGAGTGAAACAGATGCTTCCTGACCTCACCCATTCCTGTCCCCTAGTCTCACTGTGAGCCCCCCAGCTACCGGCCCATGCACCATGAGGACTTTAAAGAAGACCTGAAGAAGTTCCGCACCAAGAGCCGGACCTGGGCAGGGGAGAAGAGCAAGAGGGAGATGTACAGCCGCCTGAAGAAGCTCTGAGGCCGGCAGGGCGGACAGCAGCAGCCTGCGCCTCCTCCGAGCAGAGGGGCCAGCTCTGTGACATTTGGAGCGCGCCTGCGGCTTCCTGCCTTAAACCTTGCTTTCCACACTCCCGAGGTTAGAGCCCAGGGCACCCTGCTGGCCCTGCCTTTCGTCCCTGCATCAGGACTGTCTCCCGGCAGTCATGGCCCCGTCGTGACCAAGTCAAGACATGCTCTGCCTCTTCGTCCCCGCAGCCGGGGGACAACCTGGGGCATTGCTGGGTACCGCCCCTTCGTGAGGGGAGGGCCAGGAGAGGGAGTGAAGTAAGACGGCGGAAATGCTGCCGCCACACGCCAAAGACAGCCTGGGAAGGAAGTGGTCTTTGTGGGGTAACCCTCTCTTTAATTTATTCAACCCTGTCAATCACTTTATTATTATTTTTTTTACCTCCTGGGAACTGTTATTTAACGGCTTCTTTGAGTCAGAATACTGCCATTTTATCATCCCAAGGACTACCTCTGCTTTTAATTAAAGAAAAAAAGGTGGGGGGAAGAAGAGGCAAAAATGTGAGCGTGGGACAGAAGTAGCCCTGTCACCCCCAGGAGGCACTGTGGCACTGGGGCTGCTGCTATTGAAAGCCAAAGACTGAGATACTCGTGGGAGCAGGCACTGGATTCTGCCTTGGCTACGGGGCATGAGCTGCACCTCTGGGACCTACCAGGAAGGCCATCGAGATCTGCTTGGGGTCGGGGTGGCCCTGCTCTTGCCCCGGTTCCCTGTGATGTTGGCTGGTTCAGGAGTCAGTCCGGAAAGCACTTCAGGCAGCTTCCATGGGGTCAGCCCCAGGCTGGTGTCGGGACGTGGTAGTGTAGGTATCCCGAAGTAGGGGGCAGGCATGGGGGGGGCTCTGGGCTGGGGGCGGGGAACATACCCTGAGCGTCTTACTCTGATACTCTGACAGCTTTAATTTTCTAAAAACAGTCATTTTATGAGTCAAGGAGTATCAGGTCAGTGCTGGCTGGCCCGTCCAAGGGTGGGGAGGGGGCTGGAAGCCCTGGGCTTTTAAGAGAAGAGTGGGTGCTGGCGTAGCAATGGCCAGAATGTTTCAGGAGGCACTGTGGTAGATTTTGAAGGTAAAACTCTCTGAGTTTATCATGTTTTAATTTGAGGAACAGGGAGCGGTGGATCATCACCAGTTGCTTCCTCATCTAACCCCATGGAAGTAGGGGTCTCAAAGGAACACCCCCCGTCCATGGAGCTGGGGCTGCCTCCACTGACTCGGGACAGGCCTCTTTGGTTCCTGCTCATCCTCACCCTCAGGCGCCAGCCCCTCACCATCTCTGCTCCCTTGGGGTACAGCCAAGTTTGTCTTACACATAAGAGTTAGTCCCCCTCTTGCCTCGGCTCCCTATTCTGGAGATAGGGAGGGAGCCAGTGATACTGGAGATGACTGGTTGCTATGTTAATGGGTTTGAGTTGCATTTGGTTATAAAACAATCTTGTTAGAAAAGTGAGTGGGGAACAGGGAGAGGGAGAAGACCGCTTCCCCCACACGGTGAGACATTGCAATTGGTCTCTAATCTTGTTTGTAGGGATTCTGTTTGAATGCCTGGAAAGGGAGGCGGAATGGCCTTCAGATTGTACCAGCCTGGCTAGCATTGCTGACTGTTGCAGGCCCTGAAAATAAAACGCCAATCTTGAACCCATGCTCTCTGCCTAATTCTTTTATTTTATTTTATTTTTATTGTTCAAATACATTTGTCTCCATTTTCCTGCTACCACCTTCCCCTGCCCCACACTCACCCCCACCTCCCACTCTCGATCCTTCCCCACTTTGGCTTTGTCCATGAGTCCTTTATACGTGTTCCTTGACTTCACCCTTCCCCTTCTCCCCGTTACCTGCTCTCTTCCCTCATTACTGGTTTTTTTTTCAGTGTTGCTGGTTATATTTTTCTTGCTTTGTTTTGCTGATTAAGTTCCACTTATAGGTGAAATCATATGGTATTTGTCTCTCACCCCCTGGCTTATTTTGCTTTAGCATAATGCTCTCCAGTTCCATCCATGTCTCTGCCTAATTCTTTATTCAAAGGGAATTATGTTTCCTTTTGAGGTTCGAGGACTGCGCTTGACTAAAACCAGTGGCTGGGGCAGCAACGTTTCCTTAAGAGGCCGATGGGTCTCCTCAGTGGCCTTCAGGGATGGCCTGAATGACCTTCAGTTATACCCAGTCCAAGAACAGTTTAACTGATTCAGAGTGATTTGCATGATGAAATAGGGGCAGCAAAAACTTGCCTGAACCACTGACATTTACTTAACAAAATCCCAATTCATGTGGATGAAGCAACAGGCCAAATGAGGGACCCTGAGGGATGTAGGAGTTTCAGCTGTGCTCCGAAAGCGAGAGAGGATGCTGCAGAGGGAATCAGACAGCTGTTGCTGAGTCAGGGGCCCGCCCGCAGCCAGAGAAACGAGCGTGATCCTCAGGTGACTGTCAAAGTGGGCAAGCCCTGGAGCAAGCGTCGTAGAGAAGAGTGGCACCTGGGATAGAAGAGAACTTGTGTTCCTTTCTACATATTTTAAATCTTAAATAAAAGTAGCAAATGCTAAATTCTAAAATATTTCATCCCCGGTCCCTCCTCAAGCCAAGCTTCATTTAAATATTGTGTCCCCTTCTGGTTCGCGTCTATAATAGAAGCATTATTCCAGCCTCTTAAAAATAGGTGTAAGGAAAGGAAGTCCCCTGTAATACCGACCCATCTCCAGCATTACTGCAAACGTGCTATGCTGTGAAGACGGAGGAGAGAACGAGAACAGGTTCACAGAATTCCAAAGGGGCTCTAGCTGTCCTGCACCTGGCACCCCGTTTCCTCTCCCTTGTGGCTCTTCCAAAGAGACACTGCACGGTTGAGCAGCCCCACCCTACTCTCCAGGCAACTCCTCACATTATTTTTAAAAGTGCGGAGACTACAGTAATGACAACTGCGCATGTAAACCACGTGGCTGTACTCGAACCCTTTCCACATTAGCACACCTTCCCAGAGACAAGATTCCGTGTTCCTAACAAGAAGATGAAAAAGTTTTGATTAATTTGACCACATAAACTCAGATTTATGGTGGAAATACGTATCTATCATAGTTAATATCTGTTACTATTTAAGAGCACATCTAAAAGGTTAATTTAGATATGCTGCTTTTTCCTAGTCTCAAAATTTTAAATTCAACATTTCTGTACCATGTACTAGTTTCTATGAACTCACCTTTTATTCAAATTATTTAATATGACACAGTTCATGTGTGAAAAACTATGCCCAAGACCAAGTATTCATCCTTGTAAGTAGGACTTTTTAGTTTGTTGCATTAAGGATGTTTATGATTTCTACAAGATCATTTTTTTTAATCAATCACAGAGAACAAACTGGATGAAAAAGCAGTGCTGCGATCATAAATTCCTAAATGGGCAGATCGTGAGAGCAGCACCACCTGGGAGGCCTGTGATTCCTTTAGGGAAAGGCCTTAAGCCCGCCCTGTCCATTGTCCTTGCACACCTAGGTCGGCACACCTAGGTCGGCGCACCTCGGAAATGCTGGAAGTAATGCTCCTGGCAGGTGGGAGCGCCCTCAAGGGAGCACATAAACTTAACTGTCCTGGAATCCAGCCATTTTCAACCTTTTTCACCTTAAGGCATGCACAAACTAATCGCTAAAATTCTGTGGCCCATCAAGAAATACATTTTTTGTCAATCTGAAAAAAAAAATAGGTATAATTTTGATTCATTCACACCGGCCAGCTATGGTGTTGGGTGTTGTCTTTTTTCTTTTTCTTTCTTTCTTTCCTTTTTTTTTTTTTTTTTGACAATCTAAGGAAAAAGAGGTCAGTGCCCCTCATTAGTCAGGTATACTGCATGCTTTAAAATGTCTTGCCAGCACAGAGGTTCAAAATCGCTGCTCTAATCCAGTCCCGGCCTTGTTTCCTTCCACCTCCATGTAATCTTTTGTTCCCTCCTTCATCTCAAATGCAAAAAAGAAGCTGCAAAACTCAGTCTCCAGAGTACTTGAGTTCTTGCTCCCCCCATGTCATCCGTTTGGCTCAAATACTCATACAAATTCTCTACAGGTTTGGATGTTTCTTATGTTGACATCATTCTGAACAAAGAGAGGCTAAGGAACTGGCCCAGATTATAGGAGGCTCAAGGGACATGTGAACTAAAGGAAACGTGGGATCCTGGACCAAGACCAACAACAACAACAAAAATCCTATAAAGGACATTTTGTCTCAGTGTTAAGTTTTCTGAATTTGATAATTATGTAAGATAATAAAAATATCTTTATTCTCAGGAAATGCACTGAAGTTAAGGTTAAGGGCTATTATGTAACATACTTCCAAATGGTTTAATAAAAAAATTGTGTGTGTGTGTGTGTGAGAGAGGAGAGAGAGAGAGAAGAATCAAGGGGCAGGAGAAAGCAAATGGAGCAAATGTTAAAAAATTAAAAGACTTGGTAAAGGGCATAAGGGAGCTGTTTGTGCTCTCCTTGCAACTCTCTGTAGGTATGAAATTATTTCAAAAGAAAACACTTTAAGAGGAGGACACTGCAGCGCTGAAGTCCTGTGTAGACAGGGCGGGTGGATGGTCCAGAAGCCCGGGTGGTCTGGGGTGGCACTAAGGGTGCTGCAGAGAAATGGCCAGGCTGGTGACAGCAACCTGTCCCACACATCCAAATGGCAGTTAAAGGGACAGCTGTCGCAGAGTGGTCCCAGGTCGGGGTGGGGCCCCGACGGAAGCAGAGCCAGAGGCTGGAGGGCAGGATGTCAGCGTGCACAGCAGGGACAGCAAGGGGGCGGGGTGGAGCCACAGGGAGGACTGGAGAGATAAGGTGATGCTCTGCTCCCTGTGGCCGGGAAGTCACTGATGACCTTGGGGGACAGAGGCTGCTCACAGCGGGGTTGGGGAGGAGGAGTGACTGGGAGGGAGGCGGAAACGGTGGCCGGCGAGCTGGATGACGAAGGGCAGTCCTCGTCTG